CCCCCCGCACGCGAGAAAACCCTCTGGTACCCAGGGTATCTCTCTAGAGAGCCATTTTTAAATTTGATCTTATGGGAATTTGGTTCTGAACTTCACGTGCTAAAAATTAAACACAGCTGAACGTGACGAAAGAATAGTTTTGTAAACTCGTGTTGCGGGTCATGGTGGGTGTTACTAAACAGAGTAACGTAGTAAGGAGTAACGAGTAACGGCGTAACGAGAAAACGAGTGACGGGATAAAAATTCAAGAGTTAAAAAAATAAATAAATAAATCCTAATGAAAGAAAAACAAAAAAATGGCTGTAATATCCTAATAATGACTTACAATCTCGAAAAATATTTGGATTCCAAAAAGTGCTTAAAACAACGACGTCAACCCCACCACCCCTCTCTCCAGCAAAGTCGAAGGTATTTTCGAGCCGAAAAAGTCACCTGGCTACGGCTGTTATTTGCAATTGAATATGCCTATCCAGCAGTTAGAGTAACAAAACGTTCCGTTTATCGTTCACCCTAAAAGGTTATTTCCTACAGCCCAGGATTAGGAAGACTATTTTAAAAGTGCCGAGTTTCTGAACAATTGTCACAAATCATTGAAACTGTACAACTGAATATGTACCCAGATATTAGCATTACTACCAACATCGTCAACTGCATCAATAACATTGAATTCCGTATGGTTTATGGTTTGATCCCGCGGTATACGTTGTGCTTATTGAGATCATGAAGAAAAGAAAGTTTTCTTGACGCATTCTTTTGTAGACAAGGTATGGGAATACCCTAAGCAACCTCGTCCCCAGGGCTTTTCCCTTAAAAAATGGGTGGGACGGGAAAAGGCCCTGGCATCACATAGCGATAATTTATTACACCCAGGATTTTAGGGTGTACGAGGGGACACGTGACCAGCCGATGCCAGGGCCTTTTCCCGCCCCACCCATTTTTTAAGGGAAAAGCCCTGGGGACGAGGTTGTGCCCTAAGTTTAAGTGGTCGAAAAAAAAAGAGTCTTAATTAGCAAAATTGTGATGGTCGGGTGTTGTAAACTTTCACTGTATGCAAATGAGACTTGTGATGAGCATGCGATTTATGAAANCAGATTCTGGCATTTTTGCATGTGATCTGTGAAAAAATGTATCATGCCCTCCTCCCGAAAACAGGTTACAGAGATAAAGGGAGAGGGCATGATCGCAGGCTACGGAAAGTCAAGATTTAACTTATTGCATAATTACTATTTTTATCCTCCAATTACAGGTCGGAGCCATTCCTGTATTTAGTCGCTCGTCTCAAAACCACAGTTGCTATCTGACCCTCAAATATAAGGGGTCCTTTACCTCTTTTGTCTTTTTGCTTTTCTAGGCCGAGTGCTACTCGTTGAAGGAGAAATGGAAGGGTCCACCTATTCATACTATCATGTACAATAGATCATACCGTGCCATTGCAATTGTCTGATAGAAAAGCTACTTCGTGACTCCGGCTGCTTCTGCTCGTGCGGCCGAAGTCACCTGGAGTTGTCGCGGTGGGTACTTTCGTTCCGGGTCTATTTTGGCGTTATATGCTGCAATTTTACTGGCTGTATCATTTTTGAAGCCAAACTTTAGAATACTCGGCCACTTCAGCTCATTTTCTTCGTTAAAATCACCCCACGCGAGAAAGGCGAGACGCGGTCGCCTTTTCTCGCGTGGGGTGATTTTCACGCGCGCTCGCGTTTCGCTTGCTCTACCATCCCTGGGGAGAAATGGGGGACTACTCGTAGTCTTTTTTTTTTGTCGGTGGGACCTAGTTTGTAGGCCACGCGTTCCTAGCGGAGAGCGTGGAAACTAGGGATAAGAATCGTGACTACTTCTATTGTATGCAAATGAGTCTCGTGATGAGCATGCCGTGTATTTTCGGCGATGACTGGAATAACGCGAAATGTTTTTTTAGTGCTAAGACAAAATTTTTTGTTCCATACAAGAAATCACACTTTATCTTTTTCGACATAACAGGTTTACGTTTCATGCTTATATAACATAGCAAGCTGATAAAAATAAAATCCCAAGTGCAAAACAGACATACAAAAGGTTGAAAGTGTAAACACGTGCTCTCTCTCTAGTACCCTGGGTGCCAGAGACTTTTTCTTGCGCGGTTTCTGTAACACCGAAAATTCCCCCCGCACGCGAGAAAACCCTCTGGTACCCAGGGTATCTCTCTAGAGAGCCATTTTTAAATTTGATCTTATGGGAATTTGGTTCTGAACTTCACGTGCTAAAAATTAAACACAGCTGAACGTGACGAAAGAATAGTTTTGTAAACTCGTGTTGCGGGTCATGGTGGGTGTTACTAAACAGAGTAACGTAGTAAGGAGTAACGAGTAACGGCGTAACGAGAAAACGAGTGACGGGATAAAAATTCAAGAGTTAAAAAAATAAATAAATAAATCCTAATGAAAGAAAAACAAAAAAATGGCTGTAATATCCTAATAATGACTTACAATCTCGAAAAATATTTGGATTCCAAAAAGTGCTTAAAACAACGACGTCAACCCCACCACCCCTCTCTCCAGCAAAGTCGAAGGTATTTTCGAGCCGAAAAAGTCACCTGGCTACGGCTGTTATTTGCAATTGAATATGCCTATCCAGCAGTTAGAGTAACAAAACGTTCCGTTTATCGTTCACCCTAAAAGGTTATTTCCTACAGCCCAGGATTAGGAAGACTATTTTAAAAGTGCCGAGTTTCTGAACAATTGTCACAAATCATTGAAACTGTACAACTGAATATGTACCCAGATATTAGCATTACTACCAACATCGTCAACTGCATCAATAACATTGAATTCCGTATGGTTTATGGTTTGATCCCGCGGTATACGTTGTGCTTATTGAGATCATGAAGAAAAGAAAGTTTTCTTGACGCATTCTTTTGTAGACAAGGTATGGGAATACCCTAAGCAACCTCGTCCCCAGGGCTTTTCCCTTAAAAAATGGGTGGGACGGGAAAAGGCCCTGGCATCACATAGCGATAATTTATTACACCCAGGATTTTAGGGTGTACGAGGGGACACGTGACCAGCCGATGCCAGGGCCTTTTCCCGCCCCACCCATTTTTTAAGGGAAAAGCCCTGGGGACGAGGTTGTGCCCTAAGTTTAAGTGGTCGAAAAAAAAAGAGTCTTAATTAGCAAAATTGTGATGGTCGGGTGTTGTAAACTTTCACTGTATGCAAATGAGACTTGTGATGAGCATGCGATTTATGAAATGACGTGCCATGTAAATCACTTTTTCGATATCTGACAATGATGTAATTTCTCTGGAATCGAGGCCCTTAAATTTTCGTGTATTTATATACGCGTATAGCCTGCTACCCAGCGCTGGCTACCGGGTATTTTTGGTCGTCGCTAACACGCGTACTAAATCAGTTCAGAAACAAATATATCGACGTCGATAATGTAGGAAGGGAAGTAAAAAACCTTTAGCGAGTAAATCATGTTTCTTGTAGAATTAATCGCCTCCTCATTTCTCGATCTAATCATCAAGCAGGGGAGACCTGAATGCTGCTGTAAGCGTGTTTTTGTTTAATCCTAAATTAAGACTATTTTTTGTGCGAAATTGGGTATTGCTGTACATTTATGAAAACGCGAACCGCTGCGCACAGCTGAGTCGATCCTCATACTATAGGTTCATATTTCTTCGTCTTTCCTTCAGATATATGGTGCAAAATAAACAAATTGTTAAAGTACTATGAATATCAACTTACCGAACGTTGCATAGAGGGAAGCCTCGAAGGTTTCAAGGTTTCTTTCTTAGCACGGTTTCTTTAAGATGATGAAGCTCGTTGAATGCCGAATAGCTAAGAAATGTTACGATTGTCATCACTGTTGTAGATGGTTGCACCATCATCATTCACAAGATTGTCAAGTGCGATTCTACGTATGAAACAGTCTTTAACTCTGACGACTTGATTCTAAAAGTGTTATAAGTTATTGCTTCTTAAAAGAAAAGAACCTTTTAGTCCAGGTATTTTGTCGTCGGGCCTGTAACTAATTGCAAAAGAAGTTTTCTCATCATTTACCAGTTAGAAATATCCTATACACGAACATACTAAAAGTCCCTAAAGATCCAAGCATGGGAACACCTCCAAACAGCGACTCTCAACAAAAGTAGCCTGCGAAAACATCCGTTCCTCCACGCTCTTCGCCACTCGGGACGTTTCGCGAGGAGGAAACGTTTTTCGACTCATCGGTAGTTCCTTCGTTTCCGGGTTAGGAAAGCTTGGTGAAAGAAACGGGCAACTGTGGCGAGATAATAGCCGTCGTGTACGAACTCACGAAAAGAACTCAGGAGATGCTGTTCGTCGATTGGGCACAATAATACAAAGCATTTTTTGTGCCCAATCAGGAGCCAGCAATCGCTTGACCGTTTGGAAATGGTCCGGTGAGAGTCGATACCCAGGGGCTTTTTCGCCTGTGCTTGAAAACTTTTGTCGCGCCTTTTCTCCCGGCCAGACTGACCGCCCCTGGGTCTCCGAGGATGGTGCAACCCTAAACGAGACCTCCACGGCTAAATGTGATGGCTTTTTGCCCAGAACACCCTAAATGAGACCAAAATCCGAAATATACACCCCTAAGCGAGACGACGAGCATCCCCACCCCTTTCATATGCGGAGTCCCCCCCCGGGATACCATTCTTGCTACAAATACACCTCATACTGCTACAGTCGGACGACCAGTTGCATCTGATTAACTGAAGAAGCGATTCTGGGGCAGGTGGCAAGTCCGTTGCAACCGGAAATACTTAGTGACTGTCCATCCTCAGTTCTCCATTGACATGCCAGCACCTTTTCCCTGTCACTGCTTTACCTGTAGGTAGACACACAGGCTGTGAAATTGGGCAGCTGTTGCTGTTGGGGGCAGATTCTACCGCTCAATCTGAGACGTGTTGGTTGCAAGTTTTTCAGAGTGACGCTGATATCTGAGAGCGTTAAGACCTACCCCTGGTTTACCACCGAAAAGCGATACAGGTGCTTTTTCACTTACACTGACAACGTCGGAAACAGTAGAATGACAGCTGAAGACTTTAGCTTATTCTTTGAAGTGTAGCACAGTCTCAAATTCTCACTGAGCTGTTGCCTTGCCAACTCCATAGAGGAGTGATGTCGTGTCGCATCGCTGACGGCGTGAAGAAAAAAGATTACTGCAAACTTCCTTACCCAGCTGTTCTTTGACTCTCTTCATATGGCAGACGCGTGCACCTCTTGCGTTTGCCTTTGGTTCTGGTGTTTAATAGAGGTCACAGACAACTTCGGAAGCATGATAACACAGAAGGACTAACAAATCTGTGTCATCCCCAGCTAGAACTGTGGTATTTGTTCGGGTAGACTCTATCGCGGTTTTGACTATAAGAAGGTCGGCGTCACCATTTGTGTGGTGTGTTCAGGGGTTTCAATAAGCACCGATGGCCGACGAAACGTTTCGGCTACTTTGCTTGAGGCGGCAACTTTTTTCTACAAAGAAGAAGCAACTAGTTTGATAACGTTGTACACAAAAAGATATCATAAAATCTGAATGACAACGTAATTATGATGTGTTTTCGTAAAGGCCCACTAGTTTTCCGTAATCCTTTAGCCATGTGAACGCTATACTTAAGTCATTTTTTTCACAAGTTTCTTTTATAGGTTTACGCAGAATTTGTTTACGTGCAAATTAAAGTACGTTCATTTGTTCATTGCTTGTAGGAATTGACTGTGGGACAAATAAATTGAGAGCTAGATTTTTTTTTGAATGAAAAACACGCTCTTTTGTTCACACATTTAGTCCCCAGAACGCTGAAAATCGCATTTTAGGGCTTTGAAATTTCAAACTTTTCCCCTAGAAAAAGGGGACTAATGGTCCCATGTTGATACACATTCGGTTACTCTATTCAAACCCGCTGGCTATTTCAACTTTTATTGAAACCCCTGACTGTGTTACGTATCCTGCATTCTGGAGAGTCTCAGATAGTATTAACAGAAAGCTTTGTTTGTTCTTGGGATGCGAGAGAAAGTTATTCTTCTTCATAGTTATAGTCATGCTTCCTGAAAAGGTGACAGTGGCAGCAACCTTCGCTGAAACGCACCTCTGCTGTATTATAGATTTAGTTGACATATGGTCGTACCCGTCAAACACAACTGTCGCTCTTCCGTACTTCCTTTGCAGGTAAGTTCAATGTAAGTCGCACACTTCCTTGTAATTAGGAGAACCCGGCTCTCTTGGCCATGGGACTCAATGGAGAAGAGCACCTCCGTCCAGCATGTACTGTACAGAGTCTTGGCCTCTGGTGTAAGCTCTGTCCATGGTGTATCTGCTAGCGGCTGCCGGGCTTTTGTGGATGCCTTAACGTGAATGGGGAATCGAAAGGAGCTGTGGGATATGTGCAGAGCTCGTACTGAAATAATTCTTGAAGCTCGAAATTATCACAGGCGATGATGAGCCGCTGAAATAAAATTTCAGGGACAAGTGTACTTGGTCATTGTCAATCTTTACGAAGGACTTCGATGCCATAGTGACTACCAGGGAACTTCGTTTGAATGAGTTATCTGTGGCTAACATTCCATTCATTGACGATAGAATCTTCTCCCCGACACTCTTGGCTGTGTCAGCATTGACATTTCTATCGGCGTTTACACGATTCATGATGTTTCTTAGGTTATTGCCAGTGTCGAGAGGGAAAGGGTTATGGGTAGCCAGAGCCTTGAGGATGGTCACTGTACTGTGTCCTTCATATCTCTTGCCTTGTCTGTCTTGCCTTATACATATTTTTGTTCTGTTCTCCAGAGTTAAACTGAACTCCCCTCAGAAACATTGTTCTGCTTTGCGAGTTAGGGAGCGACGACTACTATTTGTTTCGTCTGAAACAGCGTTTTTAGCTCGATTAATGCAGGTCGACAGTACTCTCGCCGGCAGTTGTAATGTACCTTCTGCCCAGGGAACGTAGTAATAGTATCAACCCGGTCTACGCTGGCGCGGTTTATCCCTTTGCTTCCCTTTTCTATCAAAGTTACGACGTCGCCCTCGCTATTGAGACTTTTATTACAAATAACACAATTCACTGTTCCATCCATTAATATTTGGAAATTTTCGTCTGAAATTGTACGCAAATTACAAATTAAAACTTGTCAACTATCAAGGCTAGACTACGAGTAATCCTTATTTTTCCTCACGGATAGTAGAGCGAGCGAAACGCAACCGCGCGTGAAAATCACATCACGAGTCTCGGCTTTCTTGCGTGGGGTGATTTTCACGCGCGCTCGCGTTTCGCTCGCTATACTATCCCGGAGGAAACATGGGGGCTACTTGTAGTCTAATCAAGGCGAACGTTAAGGGCATAATGACACTTAAAATGTATTTTTTTCAGTTCTTTAAATCAGTCATAATTTGTTGTGTTTAAAACGCTCTAATTGTTAGCATAAATAACATTTTTTAGAAAGTATTTTCATCAGTTCCGGCGGAAACCGATTTTTAAGTCATCTACTCTCGTAATTTGAGGCTGGTTGAGTCATAAGAAAAACGTTTTGTTTTTGGTATAGTTAGGATATCTTCAATCCCGTAATTTTCTTTTTGAAATTGAAACTCGAATTTTTAAAGTAAACGAAATTCCTTAAGTGTATTGGAATTCCCCTTGACTTTTTAATTTTCAACTTTAACAAAAGTGCAAAATTTGCAGGGCGCACTCTTTCATAAGTGAGTGAAAACATTTCGTTCGGCTTTAGCGAAAATTTTCGCCAGTTTCATAAAGCTTGATACGATTCCTGGACCTTTTTCTTTAAGTTTTGAAGCAAAAATAGGTGAATTTAATAATGAGTTCAGTTGGTTTTGTGACAAAAAATTAAGCGTGAAGCGATAAGTGAAAAACGAGTGAAAAACAATTTTGGAAGTCTTTACGTAAGACTCTCAAGTCAAATATTTTTTTCTGAATTATATTATCTTAGAACATGACATTACTTTTACTTTCAGTGTAAAATTATCCGTTTAAGTTCTAAATTCGCTTGTGGAAGAGAGAATTCCTAGCTAAATGCTCCACCCAGATACCTAACAATCGTGGACATTTTCTAGAGATTTTACGTTTTTTTTTCTGATTTAAGAATCGTATACACAACAGTTATTTTATTTAATCGTTACATAAATGCACCTACGTACAGTTTCTGTGGGAAGAAAACAATACATTCTCTCAGTCTTCACAAGCCCATGCTGCACGTGGCTTCAAACCCAAGCAATGCAAAAGGCAGTACATGCAACCTCGTTTCAACGCTGCGCAGTATATGGCTCTACAAAACTCGTTTTTCTTCACCTTCCCTCACTCGGATTTTCGGGGACTTTTGATATATTGTACAAGACATGTTCTTGGACCAAGAGGTCTTCATGCGTTCAAGTTACTATATGATAACTATCAAAAGTCAGTCTGCAGGACTTTGTAACTTTACTTTGTAACTTTATTTGATTTACCACAAAATACAAATAACGATAAAACAAGACAGTTACACAAAAGCAAAAGAAAGTGGCGAGGAAGCCCAAAAAGAAACCATGAGGGTTATAGACATTGGGCTCCCTCAGAGTAAAAATAAAGTTAACAGTAACGGTAAGGCCAGGATCGAAAGCAAAATACAATGAAGGTAAGTATAAATTAACTAATTACATAGACTGAGTTGACAAAATATTAGGTATGGTACAAGTAACAATAAGTATAAAAATAATATCAGACATGGAAGAAATATAACTATTTACTACAAGATTTATAACTAATAATTCATATATAATTTTTTTTTCAATTTCGTTTTGAATAAGTGGAGAGAATTAGATTCTTTAATATCATTTTCTATAGTGTTATAATAAGTAGGTCCTTGGAAACTGACAGAAAATTTACGAAGGTTTGTTCTACAAGAAGGAAGGTGAAAATCGTTCGCGTGTCTAGTGGCATAGCTATGGACTTGTTTGTTTAAAGAAAAATAATTGTTGAACTTTGAAGGCAAAAGAGAATGGTTAAGAGAAAACATAAGTTTACCTAATTCTAGCTGTCTAATATCGGAAAGTTTTAGTAGCTCTAATTCTTTGAAAATAGGGTCTGAATGAGAATCGAAAGTTGATTTAGAAATAATTCTGATAACTCAGGAGATGTGCAGTCACAAAGTTTGCACGTGAAACTGTTGGACTTTGCCCCTTTCATGGTTCGTACATGAAGCATTATTTTTATAATCCTGGAAGCAGGATTATAAAAATAACTTATGCACACAATTTGCACGTAAAGATGTTGGAATTTGTCCCTTTGAAAAGAGAGGAGAAGTGTTACGCCACGTTACCTTGGTAGCACTATTTCTGGATGACAACAAAACCAACAACGACCGCGACGGCAAGGAGAACGGCAAAAAAGTAATAGGTTTTTATTAACAAAACAACAACTTTGCTTGGCATCACGCTATTTTGTACATTTCTTTGCCGCCGTTGCACCACTGCGACATGAAACTTCCTAATTTCACAAGCTCGCCTTATGGAGTAGGTGAACTCGACACAAAAATTGTCGTTTTCTTTTTCTAAACTTAGATGCGGTCCTTTCCGATTACCCCTCCCCCCCCTCCCCTTCCGCCACTCCCCTGCAAAAAAAGCGAACATTTGCCAACTTAAATGAAATTGAATAAGATCGATGAAGTTTGAAACAGTGCGAATTCACTTTTAAGTGACGTTTTCGGTTTTTTGTCATCCAAAAATTTTGCTACCATGGCAACGTGACGTAACGACTTCTCCTCTGTATTCGTACGTAAAAGAACCCGAATTGTTTACAAGAAAATTGGTTCAAATGATTTTAAGAAATCACCTCGGCTTTACAACATCTGCAATTAAATTATGCTTCATGCAACAACGTTAAGGTTGATAGCCTAACATTTATTTACTTCCAAGAAAATTATCAAACCGCTGAAACATTTCTACTTATATCATGTTATTCCAAACAATAAAATAATATATAATCATTTTGTTAACTAGCTTCTTCCCATTTTATTCCCTAACGCTATTGACGGTATCATTTCTAAAGTCACGCATCTTTACTAAATAAAAAACGCTTCAATAACTATAATGACTCTTAAGCAGCAAGCATGTATATCATGTTGTTCACTTAATTTATGTTTTTGTCTGTTGAACTTTGAAAGCGAGAGAATAAAGCATGTTTACAGGATTAACTTACACGGTACAGCTTTAAATAACATAAGCTGCCTTTCAAACTTCTAAAACCACAATGGAATAACTTTGAAAAATATATGACCTTTTTCTCTACCTTGAAGCTGGTGAAACGGAAAAGATAAATTATGAAATACGTGCGTTGTACCATTCACGATTGCCGGATTAGAAATATGTTGAAGAAGCTCCCACACTAAAATATGAACCTTTAAAGAGCTGCATCACTGTACTCAGCGTTTGAATCATAAAGTTATTTAAATGTTATGCTTCTAAACACCTTATTCAGCTGTAATAAAAGACGTAAAAATTGTGAAGAATCGAGATGGCGGTCTCAAAGTGACCTTCCTTAGCATCAACTCATAGTACCTTCAACCTTATTGGCCCCTGCAAGAGACATCCGAACACAGAAAGCCACAAAAATACATATGCTCGAGCCACTGACATATGCAGTGGCGGATCCAGGGGAGCCCCCCCCCCCCCCCCCCCCCCCCCCCCTCCCA